GGAAAGAGATGTCGAACGGAGATGCAGCGGAATCCGCTTAAATGTCCACGCTCGGTTCCAACTGAGACATTCAGGTTAGGTTAGGTATTTTCTCATATTCCTCATTTACACTTGGTGGTTCGAGCGCTGGATTCCAGAAAATAGCGAAGATAACTAGTGGACATTTAAACGGACACCGCTGTTCATCTTCGCTGTTCAGAGCTGACCGAGTAGCCCGTAGGCTAGAAGGGTAATTTACAGGCCAATTCCAGGAATACATTAATAACGCTCGTTTACCGACGTTTACCGACAATTATCAAACATCTTCGCGTATTCGTAACGAGACTTCCAATCCCTACCTGCGCAGCCCGAATCACCCTGAAATCGTTGCACCATCGAAGACAGCAATACACCCGAGCCGAGCTGTACCCCGTGGCAGATCACTTGCACTAAAATCGCTACCAACGCGATCACGTGGCCCCAGCCGCCCTCGGGGTAATAATGCCTTTTCAGGGTGATTCTCTTGCGAGCGTTGGCCGTGGTCAGAGATTCCTCCTCAGCCCCGTCCTCGGGCTCCTCGAACAGATCTTCGTAATCGTGAACGCTACCCAGGCCACCCTCGAGGATCAACTGCTCGGAGAAGCGTCTCCTCATCATCTTCGGCGTAATGCTCGCGCTGCTTCTTCGACGCTCATGGGAGACATCCCTGAAACCTTCGTCTCTGGTCTCCTTTTTCTGCCTCGCGTTCGGACGTTTGTCCACCGTGTGTTCCCTCTGCGACGGCTCTGACTGGCGATTTTCATCGTGCAAGGGCGACCAGAGCTCGCCGGGTTTGTCGGTGACGAGCTTCTCCGGGAAGAAACGCGGACAGGTTCTTGCGATGATTGGTTTGCTCGCACCAGCGTCGACGTCGCCGCTTCTTCCAGCGCAGTCGATCGCTCCTCTGGCGAGCGTTTGTTCGGAGAATCGGCGGTTATCTGCGCGGCCGATCTTGCAGCCGCGTGGAGACTGCGTTTGATCCGAGTGCCGACGCTGGATCACCTCCTCGACGAGGATCCCCTCGCGACCGTCTTCCTTGATCTCGTGGAACAGACTGGCGACCGAGTTCCTGCCGGAAGAGGGTGGCAGGATGCTCTGGCAGGTGGACACCGAGTAGTTGGAATCTTTCCTTCTGAAACCGGCCAGGAACGCGTGATCCCTGCTGGAACAGCTGGAGATCTTGCGACGATAGTATTGACACTGGCTGCAACGGCAGTGGCAACGACACTGGCACTGACAATCCGACGAGATCGACAGTTTCGCCGTAAGCAAGCAGCGACACTTGGCGAGTTTGCTCCATAGTTCGGGATGGGACAAGAAGATCTCGGGTATCTCGATGCTCTCGTTCCAAGACCTGCTTGTGTCCGTGGACGGGGTCCTCGTCAGGTCTCGCTTCAACAGCGAACTCTCCGTGGACCAGGTCTCGGACTTTTCCGATTCCAGGCTCGAGTTATCCGGCAATTTCGGCTTTTTCCGAACGACCATTTGCTGGCATTTCGTCGAAGCTTCCGCGCGACGATCGCCGTCCGACGGTTCGCTCGCGATCTCGGTCTCGTTAATCATCGCGGCGCTGTAAGAGTCGCGACGCCTGCGATAAGTATCGACGTTCGACGGACTCGATGAACCAGCCCCGTCGTCCATTTCGCGGGCGGATTTTTCGCGATGGAAATTACGATTAGTCGACGATCGATAAATCGCGTAGCGTACCGCATACGGGTACTTGTTGCGGGAGGTAGGCACTGTTGAATGGGGATCACCGCGGGCGTAATAGTCGGGACGGGCGTAATAGTCTTATTCCGCGATTTTTCCGGACTCCAGAGATAATCTCGAACGGAGACCGCGACGAAGGAATTAACATATGTCCGATAGACAGATGGTTGGTTCGTTGCTAGCTTATTCCTCTCCGAATTGCTCCGCTGGACCGGACTATCCGGACAAACCACTCAGAGATTCATTCCGCGCGCACGCGGATGTCACATAGTCACCGTGGAGATAAAACTCGCGTAGGTCGCACTGAATTTCACGCGCAGATGCTCGGCTCGGCACGTTTCGTCATCGCGCTGAAAACCGTGACTCGGGCCTCGACCGTTACTTCGCAACGAGGAACAAGAATACTCGTATTCTTCCTGTTCAATGGACGCGGACGGCTTACATTCAACGATCGTCTCGCGAACACGGACCATTTCCAACTGGCCCACGTGTCCGCGCGAAAGGTTACGTTTTACCTGTCGAGAGCAGGCAAATTAATGCTCGTCCCTCGAAAGAAGGCTCATCGGTCCTTCGTAAGTGCATCGCGATGCCTTGCACGCGTGAAGCTCGTACGTGAGGCACTCGCGACGCGTCCGGACTGTCGATACAACGTGCCGATTTTTCTTTTCTCAGGCCACGGCGTCCGCCACGCGGTTTCTCACCGGTCGAATTCTACACCTCGTCGTCCGGTACACGCGGAACGTTTACGACGATCGGAAACACCCACAGTTGTATTTTGGTCCCGCTGCTTTTTACGGTCCCCGGGTAACGATTACGTTTTCAGAAAACTTCAAGCGCGAGCGCTCGTTCCCCGTTCACCTTTTTCCCCCTTTTTCATTCCTCTCGCTGTCAACGCGTACCTACCTGCGGAATCAGACACGTAATTTCGTCGTCTAAAATATTCCGCGCGTATCGTTAACGAAGCCAGGCGATACATTTGCATACGGTAGACCCGAGAAACCTGAAAAACCGAAGTCTCGCTTTTTTTTTCCTTCCCTCGCTCTCTCATTCTCTCTCTCCCTCTCGCGCCGTTCTTTCCTCCGCCATGCGCGAGTATCACCTTGAGCAACTGATACGCCGTGGAGAATTTGCGTTTCGGAGAGGAGAGCGTGGAGAGATAAGTTGATTACCGGTCGAATTATTGCTCACTCGCGGCAATTCATTGCGCGAAACCGATAATGGCGGACGAGGAACGCGCAACCTGCTGAGCCGGCCAGTGGTATTTAAATGGGCAACGGAGGAAAAAGAGCGCGAAAACAAACGAGCGCCCGTAATAGCTGTTTCGTGGCTGTAAGAGGATCGAGGTTTCGGGGACCGGTCTATACCAGCCACGAATCGTTTCTATCTTTCGACCCTCTTTCCAGATAGAACTCCGAAGAAGAATCTTCGAGGAATTCTCGATGGAACCGTGTTATCCCGTTTCGAGATACCCATTCCGATACGACCTTTAACCGAGGAAGATTCTCGACGCTCCCGGCGTGGACGTACGCGAATTCTTAACCACCGGCTCCGGCGCGGGTGTCCATTTTCTCGGTGTTCGATGCCTAGACGAGATCACGTTAACGAAAACGCGATCAAACACGCGCGGAATTGCCAGTCCTGACAGCGAAACGACCTGGTCTATCGCCTACTACAGTCTAGACCGGCACCTGTCGGCGTTCCTTATCGCGAGAGCCTCTCATACGGTAATTTCGCATCCCGGAGCGCGCACCGTCTCGGTCAGGCCACGTAACGATCACTGGCCGATCGCCGGCCGATCATTGGCGCCGGCCAGCAGCGTGGGAAAAAAAAAGCACCGCGTAAAAACCGTTTGATTTATGAACCGCCGCCGGATCCTATCTCCCGACAAGGTTTTCACTTAGCGCAATCAACCGATTGGCCGGCTCCCGAATTCGCGCGAGACGCCTCCGCGGCCGCTATCGATACCGATATTCCCCGATTCAGCCGGTTCGAACTTCCGATTAAGATAAACGACGTCTGGCTCGATTAAGCAACGGCCAATTAAGCAAGATGCTCTGGCCACGGCCACGAGAGCTTGCTGTCTCGCTCGAGCCCGTGGGTCGGCCGGTCGGTCGGTCGGTCGGTCTGAAAAGAAAGGTAAGAGCTTACCTGCGCTGTGAAGGGCCGGCTGATGGAACTTGAGCTCGGCGGTCAGGTGCCAGCTGCCAGGCGCCGCGAGCTGCAAGCCGATCCCGAGGAAATGGACGAGAGTCGAACAGGTCACGATCACGTAGCCCCAGCCTCCCTCCGGGTAGTAGTGCCTCCTCAGGGTGGCCTCTTTCCTCACTTCGCTCGTCGGCCTACACAGCGGGCTGCCGTTCCTCTTCCGCGCCAACCGCTCCCTCTCCCTATTCCTGGCGCCTCCAATTAGACCGCTCGCTCCTATCCTACGCCAGCTGTTCTTCATTTTACCCTCCATCGTGGAATATTTACGGACCGTTTCCGGCTTGCCGCCCTGACACCGGCCGGCTATGCTTTTCCTCCTCGACATCGGCGATCGGAACGGGTCTACGCGCTCGCGAAGTTGCCCTTCCGACGTGCATTTCGGACACGCGTGCTGCACGGCTCTCTCGATCGAGACGGCCAAGCTCGTTATGTCGTCGTAATCCACTATCTCGATTTGCGGCGTGGGTGTCTTCCTCGGGGTGGACTCTCGGGAGATGACTAGTTCGTCTTTCGTTTCGCGAGGATCGTTTCGTTTCGGCGTCTCTATCTCGACGATAGTCTGCAGAGGTGGCGAGTCCTCCTGCTCGCACTCGTTCACCTTCGAAGCTTCTGCTTGGCTCGGTACGTCGGGAAGACTCGAGGCTATTTCGATGGATTCCAATCCCAAGTTCGTCCCGCTTGTATCGTTTCTCTGGAGCTTCGGTATCGACTTACGTTCTTCGTCAATCGGACACAAGTCCGATTTGGTTCCCTCGGACGTATCTCTGTCGCCACCGCGAGGATCTTTGGCAGTTTGGTCGGTGGAGGGAGCCGAAGGCAATCTTGACTCGCTGTTACGACCCTCGCCGCTTCGTCCATCGTCCCCGTGGATGGCTCTTCCGCAACTTTTATTCATAACGTCAGGTACCAGAGTGCGTAGTTCGAAAGTTTCCCCTAATTCACCGAGACCATTCCGGTCGGTCGTGCTGGTGCCGGCCGCGAAGCGTCGTTTCGCGTCGACCGACGACGAGCCGCCATGATCGACGAAGACGATCTCGTCGATCCAGTCGGTCGTCGTGGCCAAGACCGGGTGCAGGCTCTCGCGAATCGTCGGTATGATCGTGAAGGCGCGCGACAGCGGATCCACGCGCACTTTCACCGTCTGTGGCGCCCGATCCGGCCAAGAGCTGCTGTGTCTCATGTTCTTCCGGTCCTCCTCGCGCACGGTCATCTCTCGGACGTTTCCTCATCGAATCGAGCGTCTACGAATCGAACGGACCGGTCGACGACGGGCCGGATGATGGAGTCGACGAGCGACAACCGGGCTCAATCTCCACCGGTCTAATTGCTGAGGATCGAGCTTCCCGTGCGATAACCACTGACCTAATCCACACAGAGGCGACAGATAAAAGGCTTTCCTCGTCGAGTGTATATTTTCCCCGCGAGCCGCTATTGTTTCCGTGATCCCGGTCGAAAGAGCATGGCCGACTCTCGCGAAACGACTGCATTTTTCAACGGCTCCGCGCGATTTGCCACGGAAATCTCACTGTATCCCCGACACCGCGTCACGGTATAGAGGCGTCGCGAGGCAGTCGAGGTGGAAACACGCGCGATTTACCGATTATTTTTCAAAATGACCGGCACTGAGAGGTAATCGCGGAGAAGAACGACGAATCGTCGACGACGAAACGCGAAACGCGGACGAACGGTGGAGCGTGAGCGTGGTAAAAGATTGTTTGAAAAGGAAGAAGCGGTCCTGGCGAGTGCGCCAGGATGACTGCTACGCACGTGCTGCTCACTTGCGACCAACCCTCTCCTCTCTCTCCCTCTTTGCTCCCTGTCTCCCTCTTCCCAATGGCGGGCGCATGCCTGCGATATTCGAGGAATCGCCAAGCCACCGTTTCGGAGGGTTTCTTTTCCCGGTGCATTTCGCCACGAATTTCAAACGGTCGCGTGCTAATGAGAAGCGACAAAAACTGCACTCCGGGCACCCTCAGCTCGTTGCGAAACGCTCGTTCCCTCGACGCCACTCGTTACACAGCGCGTCGAACGCGTTCGACGGCCATCCGCGTACGACTCGCGAGTGAAATCGCGAGCTGACGATCGTAAAACGCTCCTCCATAAAATTCGCTTCCACCGATGGGCCCTGTCGCGCCACACGACCTTTCCTGCTATGCACTTTCCGCCATCGTTACCCGCCATCTTTACTCCGCTCCTGGCGACCACCGTTCCGCGTACTTCCTGCATCCGCGAACCTTCAAACGTCTCGAATTGCTGCACGGATACGGTATAAAGTCGGCATGTGACTCCGCCATTGCACACGATCTTTACGATCTCCGAGAGATCAAGTTTCCCGCAATTGATTCCACGCAGATGAGTAAGTGCCGCGACGGTTTTACTACCCCTCGGTCAACCACCGGAAAATGAACTTTAGTTAAACGTAGATCGCTTGTCGAGAAGCGTCGCTTTGACTCCATTGCACGCGTGCTTTCCGGAGAAACGCGTAATCGAAATTCCTCGTATGGAGAGCGTGGGTTCTCCCGTGGCCATTTTTGGCCGCGTTTTATGACCCGGATGATCAACGTAAACGCTGCGTACAAGGTGTCTCGCGGGTACCTTAGGTTTTACATACAGGTATATTTATCAAAGAGACGTAACAAAAATACGAAACCCGAGGGGAAGGACGATAAAGCTACTCCTTTATTCATCCGAATAAAGAACAGACGAATGGAGAACAGTTGGACTGGCCGATCGAAATACATTTAATTTCGACCCCCTGTGTAGCTTTATCGACGCGAAGGACGAACGACCGAGCGAATCGCGTTCAAATGGGGCAGAACCACGGGCTAATCGTTCCCACGCGAAACTTGGTCCCCGACAACGAGCGACTCCGCCAAATCCTTGGACTAATCGGTGGAGAAGCGAAACTGGACGGGCGAAAGAGCATCGATCAGGCGTAAAAGAGCGAACGGGGAGGAAATGGAGGCGGGAAATGGCCGGAAATCAATCCATGGCGAAGACAAACGATCGATGGGGGTTCATGGGAGCTTGGCCCGTGGCACTGACCTGCCCTCAGGACGCGCGGCTTGCCGAGGGCGCGTACCGCGTCAATTCGAGGCAGACGTAGCACAAGGCGAGGACAATGAGTTATGAGAGGGAAGGGCGACGGTAAATGAGGCAAAAGAGGGTGAAGGCGTCGGGAAGACACACGGCTCGCCCTCGACATCGAGCGACCTGAATTTTTAGGGAAGGGTGGAAGGTCGTAAAAATGCGCTCGCTCGGGAAAGGATTGTCCACGATGATGTTAGCGTTGATCCAGTCGGCTCTACGATAACGATCAGCGTTCGATACGCTTTTGGGCTTCGCTGGATCCACTGGCCGACCTGGGTGACACGGTTATGGTTCGGATTCTGCAGTCGGGTTCGTAATTCGAATTTTTAACGAGTTTGATATATTACTATTCGAGATTCGGTGGATTCGCCAGAGATCGCGAGGAATGTTAAGTTTCGGATCGAGGAAATAATTACGCGAATTTACCTTCAGCTGCGTTTATGGACGATATTTGTCCGATGTTCCGTGTCCACCGAGAGTGTATTACGAATATCGTTATATAGTAATTACGTGCTCGCGTAATCTTTTATCGGCATATTTTAACGTAATGAATTATCCTCGCGACGAAATTAAAATTAACGTAGGCATTTATGGTACGCATTTTATTCGGTGCAGAAACGCACTGATATTTAAGGGACGAAGCAAATACGCTTGATCATACTCTATGATAATTGAATTTGAGAGATGCTTCGATAGTGTACGAAGAACCTGTACAGATAGAGGTATTTAACGCGTTACAACATTGGAAAATGTAATTATGTATTTTTAATACGTCCGCGCGCGGTGTAATTACATTTTCTGCTTATTATAGCTTAATTTATGGTCGGTAGTGTATAAAATTACTGGCTGTCACTTAAACTTTTCACAAGCCATCCGCGAGAAGCAACGGGGAGCGCTGCGAGAAGGGTGATAATGGTTTCCTAATTTCACACACTGCCTTTTGTACGCTCGTGAATAGCCGCGTATTTAAATACGACATTGTAAGGAGACAAATTAGAGCAACGATATAAAAGCAACCAGTGTACTGTTTTTATTCAACCAGGGAGATTGCGATCGAGCACGGTGGTTTACTAAATTGCGTGACTCCTTCTTTAATACCTCCTTTCCTTTAACGAAGTACGCATTTCATATTCCGACACGTCCTATATTCTCTTTCAAACCCGTTAAAGCGTAATTACGTGCAATGAGAATTGCATTGTAACCTTCCGAGGCCGTAGCTCAGGCCACTTCCTGTAACACGCTATAATATTCCACGAACCACGCATTCTGCCTTTCAAAACCTTCCAAAACCACCCTCAAAAAGTAAAAAATAGACCGAGTTTATCCATTTCCATCACGACCCATTATTCGCAAAGTTTGAAGATGAACGATGGACGGAATAATAAAATAAAGGGGAAAATGATTTCCAGATACACGTCTAAATTGAAATTGACGTGGAAAATTCTTTGTAAAAAAAAAAAAAAAAATTTTTTAATCGAAAGAAACAGGAAAAAGAGTAAAACGGGGAGAAAAATCGTGGGTGGAAAAATGTCTGGTCCCGTTAAAAAAATTCGTTTAAAGCGCCAAACGAACCACTGCCAAACCTCCGCGCAGGAAGAGAGGAAACAGGGACAAAACGAAAAGGAAAAATTCGTTTTTTAGAAAAACTCGGCATCGGGCTTAAATTGAAAATCGCGTGAAAAATACGAGCGTTCGAGGCGACGAGCGAACGATTCCCCGGGAGGACATTACCTCGCTTGATGCATAGCGAATTCCACGTGTGAGGATGCCGCTTTTCGTGGGGCCGAAGAAAACGGCGCTGAAACGCGCGTGTCAGCCGCGGGGAGGAGAACAGACGCGTCTGTCGCCGGTGTTGCTCCTCGTAAATTCGCGCGCGCTATGCCATCTAAATGCTCGTAACTAACGGGGCACGGGGTGCCACGGGGTGGGTGCGATGGGTGGCGCGGGAAAAGGAGGAAAAAAGGCGGATCCCGCTTCCTGCTTTACGCACGCCGAATGATTTACGCGCGTATTAATTCAAGACGGCCCGCTTCGGCGACGAAACGCGCGTATCTCAAAGGAATTCCTATTAAATTGAAAATGATTCATTCGGCCAGGGTGGCAGGCTCGTTCGTCCGCGTTAAATGGCTTCGTTTGAAGCGCGGCGCGATTCCACGACGGGCGTCGCGACGCCGAAATTTCACGCTGAATTTTCCCTGCCAGTTTTAAGATACGCGCATATTATTTATGGTGCAAGTACACGTTTGTGGAGATTAAAATTTATTATTTATTTATTTATTCGTTTGTTCAACGGATGAAAATCCTCCGATTATAAAAAGGAAAACGGTACACGGATTTACGTGTGCATGTAGAAAATATAATAGCCGAGCATTGTTTTAGGAATTGTATAAAATTGAATTAAAATCGTCAAGATCTTTAGTTGTTATTTTTATTCGCGTATTGTGCTAGATGCTAGGTATGCGTGACGGTGAAGGGAATTATACGGTAATGAGAATTGTGTCTCTGGTAATAATGGAATTAGTTACTTATAACGAATAACTAAATACATTATTTATTTATTTATTTGTTCCTTTAGCGGAGTAAAATTCTTCCATTATAAAATGAGAAACAGTACACAGATTTACGCGTGCATGTATGAAACATAAGAGAAACCGTGTAATTGAATCGTGGAAATTACCAGGAATTTTGGTAGTTCTGGCGTTAAGATTGCATTTTTGGTAATTATTTTGATTCGTGCAATACGTTACACGTTGCATATGCGTGACTGTGAGGAAAATTACACGGTAACGAGATCTGTTTCTCCGGTGAATTAAAACTAGGTACGTTTTAGAGATCAGTTCCCGTATGATAAATTTCAGAGCATTTATCTGCTCGAAGATTTATCACGATCTTCGTGGTAATACCTCGGGTCCATTTTCTTGCCTCGCTTAGTCCGCGTATCGTCTTTGTGGCTTGCTTTTCTCCCTTTTCGAGTAACTTCGCGAATAAAATGCTTCTCTGCCAGCCGACGGATTGTATTGGTTGTCGCGTGCTGATTAATGCGTCCCTTTTTACTGCCACAGCACAGTAAAAACGGCCCTTTTATCGAGCAAGTGGGGTTGCTGGAAATAAAACGATCAT